CTAGTCTCTTTATTCTTCTTTGAGCGATGGAGTTTTGATTTGTGCTGCTGTAGTATTGTTCTGTGTGAGTGGAGTATTGGAACTCCCTTTGATCTATTGATATCTTCGTCTCCCGTGGAAAAGAATCCTTTGAAAAATATTAGCAATATAACTAGACCTAGGACAAAATACAACCAAAACATTGAGAGAGAAAATAAAAAAATAAGAGACACACCTCCAAATAATTTTTAATTAACTGACCTAACTTTAATAAGTTATTTAACTATTCTTTAAGTTAATTTATATTTATTAATAACTGTACTGAGTTCATTTAATAACCACACTGCGCATTCACACGTGGGCAGTTTATAAGCTATGGGAGGGAGAGAATTTTAGTATTCCTGCAAAGCAAAGATGAGAAGAACTCTTGCTCCTTTTTATTTTTTTATTATATTTATATCCAGTGACCTTGGTTATTGCACTGACCTCAACAGTGGAAGTGGTAAGATACCCTCTGTACTGTATGCTGCAATATTTGATAATAATAAATAATTATTATTTTATTTATTTTTCTCTCTCTTGCTCTAGGTTCTGGTTCTTCAGGTGTAGACCCAACTACTCCTTCTCCTCCTTATCCTCCTCCTGTATATCAGGACCCACCAATGTAATAATAATGAATGGTTACTGAATGTACATGTACACATGTATTGTGGTGATATTATTAATATCAGGCTGCACTTGTATAATTTAGTTGATGGAGTAATGAGCTTTAAAATGTCTGTACTACTAATAGCAAGTGCCTTTATCTTCTCTTCCCAACTAGTGTCATAAATAAATATTTATCATGTCCATTGTACTGTATGGTTGTATTGGGTTGTCGGTCCTGGTGTTATTCCTAATCATCAGTAATTCAGTTTAAGTGACTTTATGTATACTCTTGCCTATACGTTTATCAGTGTCAAGGGATAAAATGTTATTGCAAAATAAAAATTATCTTTTAATCTCTCTCCCTCTCTCCCCCTCTCTCCCTCCCTCCCTCCCTCCCTCTCTCTCTCCTCCAGTACTTATGGTAACCTAACATGTGATTGGTATGATGTTAGTGATTCAGTATGTCAGCAAGTATTTAGTTATCCTGTCATAAACAATCACTCCAGAGGTGACTTTGTTACGATATACAGTGACCTCCTGTCCATATTTGGTGCCCTTGGAAATACAGGTGCTGCTTCTATTTGTAGTCTTAATGCGGCCCCACTGTTATGTCATTTCACCTTCCCTTACTGTGACCCTGCCTACTCTCTGTTAGTACCAGTCTATCAGCCATTGTGTAGGAGGGACTGTGAGCTAATGAGGGATTTCATGTGTAAAGAAGAATGGGAAGCTACGAAGAGACTGGAGGGGATATTGAGGTTTGGTTTAGTGGATCGGTTCAATTGTGAGCTACTGGAGCCGAGCAATGGAGGGGAGCCGCCGATGTGTATCAGTACACTGGACAGTGGTGAGTGGACACTGGTTGAATGGTATAGTGAGTGGCTTGAATTTGATGATTTGGTTCCTATTCATCAAAACACA